GTCACCCTCATCACTAATAGTCACAGCATACATGGCAGCAAGAATAGCATCATAATCAAGATCAAAGATAGGAACCCCTGCCCTAGACAGCTCACCCCAGCGAGGGATCTCAGTGGCCTCAGGGAACTGGTGACGCCAAGCGTCCGTCAGGCGGCCAAAGCAACACTGGGTGGAGTGTGCACCCCCACAATGCTCACCCGCGCGGTCGCCGGTGCGGAGGACGTAGGTGCACGGACCAGTACCCCCACCCCGCTGACGTGCAGCGTACCACTCACGAAGCTGCTGAGGGGGGGGGATCTCACGAGCGCGCTGCTGCTGCTGCTGGCGCTGACCACCACCGGAGCCAACCCTCTGTGCAGCGCCACCCCGACCAGCTCCACCTCCTCCGCCGCTACCTCCTCCACTACCGCCACCGCCGCCTCCGCCTCCGCCTCCACTGACGCCACTGACGCCCCCACCCCCGCCACCACCCCCACCGCCACCCCCACCCCCTCCACCACCTCCACCTCCGCCTCCACCGCCCCCGCTAGCTCCTCCAGCACCCTTGCCCCCCTTGCCCTTGCCAGGGCGGCGTCTCCCGCTAGGGGCAGACGCCGCAGCGACCGACTCAAGACCAACGAGGTCGGCCGCAGCAGCAGAGGCAACAGAGGGCAGGAGGGGAGAGGGGGAGCACCCCTCAAAGACAGGGGTACGAGGGTCACCACGAGAGGCTCCGACAACGACTATGCTCTTCTCTGCCGCTAGAAGGCGCTCCTCGAGGAGGTCAACGGTGAGGGTGGTGGGGCAAACAGAGAGGAAGTGGTCCCTAACCGGGCGAAGGGTGTCAGGGAGCCGGGTGACTATGTAGTAGAGGGTGATGTACATGGGGGGGGGGTTCTTGGCGCAGAACTCAGCAGGAAGCGCAGCGCGGTAGCGAGTGTCACTAGTGCGAAGGTGCGTAATGAGGTCAGCGACAGTGGGAAAAGCGGCGAGGTCAGGGAAGAGGTACGGTAGGATGAGGCGGCTAAGCGCAGCAGTGGCAGGGGAAGAGTAGCGTGCAACTACAGCGTCGTACAAGGTCTTAGCACTCTTGTACTGGCTAAAGTGCGCACGCTCAGCGGTCGGCAAGTGGCGGCGCACAGCAAGGCGGGCAGCAGCATCGCGCGTGGCCCACTGTGAGCGAACAGTGGCGTCAGCATCAGCAGCAGGGGCAGGAGAGGCACCAGAAGTGAGGTCAAAGAGGGAGAGACCGTCTGCCCTATCGCTCAGCAGGAAAAGCTGCAGGTCATCTACCCAGACGTCAAAGTCAATGGCCCGACCCTCAGCATCAAAAGTGAGGACAATAGGGTAGCCATGACAGCAGTAGACTAGCAGCGCGAGCAGCAGGCAAGGGCAGTGCAGTGGTGGAGGCGCTGCTCTTACCGGGCAGGCGAGAAGGACCGAGGCTCGCCGGCAGGAACAGGGCCGCGACGGCAGTAACGGCGGCTCGGCGGCTCGGCAGCTCAGCGGCAACGGCGGCTCGGCAGCTCGGCAGCAATGGCGTCTCGGCGGCTCGGCAGCTCGGCGGCAACTGCTGCTCGGCGGCAACGGCGGCTCGGCGGCTCGGCAGCTCGGCGGCAACGGCGGCTCGGCGGCGTCGGCGGCTCGGCGGCTCGATGGTGACGGCGGGGCCGTGAAGGGCGGCAGGGCCGCTGAAGGGACGGCGGCAGGGCCGCTGAAGGGCGGCGGCGGGGCCACGAAGGGTGGCGACCGGGCCGCGGAGGTGTGGCGACGGCGCCGCGAAGGGCGGCGCCGGGGTCGTACGGGTGTGGCGACGGGGCCGCGAAGGGCGGCGGTGGGGTCGCGGGCGGCTGCGACGAAGCCGCGAGGGGGGGGGGGGCGGCGCAGGGGCCGCGAGTGTGGGGCCGCGGGGTCGCGAGGGTAGGGCGACGGGGCCAGCAGCGGCGGCGCCGGGGCCGGTAAGAGCGGCGCCGGGGCCGCGAGGGTGGGGCGACGGGGCCGCGAGGGCGGCGAGAAGGGGCCGCGAAGGCGGCGCGAAGGGGCCGCAAGGGCGGCGCGACGGGGCCGCGAGGGCGGCGCGGCGGGGCCGCAGGGCGGCGCGACGGGGCCGCTAGGGGCCGTGAGAGGGGAGCGCGACTCGGGCAGGGGCTGAGTGCGCTCTGGGCAGGAAAAAAAAATCTTACGGTGGGCCCTAGGAACAGTTCCCACGAGGGAACCTGCTCGATACCATGTGAGAATTGGAACGAGAATGTGTGCATTGAGCAGCATGAGGAGTACAAGTACCAAACCCTAAAGTGTTGTACCCCATATTAGCTACCCCACTACAGCCTACACAGACTATAGTGTATGAGTTTAACACCTTTTCACCAGTAAATCTGAGGAGTGCTCGAAAACCGAATCGAGGGGGACTTAGAGAAAAATTGTGTGGAACTGGTTTTACATACCCGTATCGGCGCCTTCGTCGTCGCCCCCGCGGTTTTTAAAGGCCGGAACTACGCGGTTGAAGACCTCGCGTGTAAACCCGCTCTGATTACCAAGTGTGAGGATCTGGTTCAGGAAAGATGATTCTATTGAATGATTCACCTGGATACAAGGCGAGGCATATCTAGGCTCGACACAAAGGCAGTAACCCGGGTGTTACTAGAAGGTTCCGCGGGTCGCGAAGCGTCCCGAACGGGTCCTTCCTGAATTCGGTAGAAAGCAATCCAGTGGCAACCGAAAAGCCTAGAATTCGGTGCACTCAACCTAGTTCGGTGCCTAAAACTATAATAATATAGTAAAAGCAACGAACCTAGGAAATCTAGCAAAAGCAAGCAAAATAAAGCAAAGCTAAGCTAGATAATGCATAGTAAAGCAGAGTCAGGCTAGTAAAGCGTAGCAATGACGTCGTACTCTCACAAGGGGTGATCAGATTGGCTGATGCGACGATGATGGTTGGTTTGCTGGTATCGACAGTGTCATACGCGAACATGTACGACGATTTTCACTGGCTAACAATCTGCGAAAATTTGACACTCGGGCAACAATGTTGGCGAGGGTCAAGATGGAAAATTGACACTGGCAATTTTGATATGTCAAAACTATGGACGAGCCCTAAGTCAATGAATTTGGCCGAGACACTGAAACCCGGGAAATGCTGCCAAGTCTTTGAAACACACTGGAAATTTGGCGAAGTCACTGAAGCACTCTGGAAATCCGCCCAAGTCACAAGAACACACTCGACATTCAGCGAAGTCACTGACACTTGAAATTGGCCAAGTCACTGAAGCACTCTGGCCCTGTTCGGTAGCCTCCCAGTCACACTGGGCCCAGTCGAACTGGGGAAGCCTCTGGTCCGTTGCGTAGTCTCGGGCTTCCACTCACACTAGAATGAAGCTTCATCCATAGTTGCAAAAAGTCACATCGTGCTTGTTGAGAAATTGTTTACCGAATTTGGCCTGCTGCCCCATCTACAAACAAGAAATCAGTCCGCCAAATGGTTTCCCCTCATTATGGATGAAATAAAAACAGACTGTGAGCACGATCTCTCGTCGTTTTTTATTGAACGGACTAAAAATATTTATTCGGCCCGAAATGACACTAATGTAGCGTATACCCTCCAACATTCCACTCAGAGTGGGCCTGCCTGAGTGGAACTGGAAAGCTGAAATGGGATGGACTTGCATTGACAGTCAAATTTGCCTGGGCACGCCAATTTCGTGGTAGTGTCTTCCCCTGCACTCGGAGTGGGTTTATGACGCGTTCGGTATGCAATTCGTACTGGGCAGGTTTGGTGTTCCAATAACGATTTCGTAGGTTTTAAGGGGTATCGAAATTGGGCCACGGAAGATCACGTTCACCAACCGCAGTGTGACTGGGGGGGCTACCGAACAGGGCATCAGGGAGCATTCGTATCCTGTGTCAGACCTGAAGTCATCAGCCCTTAGTCTCCAATTTGTCTCTTCCGAACTTCCAATCTCCCCACAAACGAACCACTTCGGGTTTTCCGAACCTACTTCGTGTCTAGCTTTGTGTCTGACACGGGATACGAATGCGCCCTCAGAGAATTCGCCCAAGTGACTGGAGCACACTGGACATTCAGCGAAGTCTGAAACATACAGGAAATTCGGCCAAGTCACTCAAGCTTTCCGAAATTCGGCGAAGTCACAGAAACACACCGGAATTTTGTCTTTGTCGCTGGGACAAGCTGGAAACTTAGTTAAGTCCCTTTAACACGCTAAGCTCGCTCAGTGACGGAACAGGCTGTAATTTGACGAAGTCCTGCTCAGAGCGGGTCTGCAGAGCTCAGCAGTGTTAGCGAGATTTCTACCCTGCCAGTTCCGACAAGAAAATACAAAACACCCTGCCATTTCCTGAGTATGCCGCGATTGGCACACTGCAGTGGCAGGGTGAAGGTCGGCCACGACTCGCTTCTGGCAGGGTGCCCAAAAACACATCGAGAGGCCTGGCCGTGGGTGTCCGTTGGTTTTCGCTGGGCTGGTTATCACTGCGCTGGTTCTCGCTGCGCTGGTTTTCGCTGCGATAGGTTTCGGTGAGCTGGTTTTCGCTGCGATAGGTTTCGCTGAGCTGGTTTTCGCTGCGCTGGTTCTAGTTGAGTGCTCGGTTTCTCTGCTCCGGATTTGCTGTGGTGTCTTCAGCTGCGGTTTCTCATCACTTCACTGCGTTTCTTGGGTAGTCTAGCTAGTTCACATTCTTGGGTCGTCCATTTCCTCCTAGAGGTGAAGTTTCTCAGCTTGGCGAAGCCAAGGCAAACAGACCGAGCAAAAACTCCAGATCCGTACTGAGCTGGAAGCACACCCAGGAGTTGTGCTGGATTTGCCTGCCTTGGTTTTCTCTGCGTGTTACCGTTTCGTTCAGTGTGTTGCGAGTGAAAATGTCGACTGACGAAGTCCAAAGCATTCGCGAAAGATACACTTCGAATATCCAGAACTGAACACGGTAACCCAGCGGACGGAACCTAACCTAAACATCGCGTTTCACTCCTTGCCGAGTCCTAAATCATGGCGAATTGTGGGTATCTGATGGCGCGAAACACGCCTACTCCGGTAGGTGTTACTATAATCCCGTCTCCAGGCATACCAAGTGTCGTGAATCGTGATCACCTGCAGATGTGGTTACCGCAAATTATGTGTACAGCAGGCTTCTTTCTCTGATTGTTTCTCCGCATTCACTCTCTCTCATCGTTTTCCCACTCTCACTCTCTGTTCGTTTCTTCCTCTCACTCACTCTGTTCGTTTCTCCGCTCTCACCCGACATGCTTTTGCGCGTGCAGGTGAAGGAGCTGCGCGCATCCTTCGGTTTGAATCGTGAATCTCTCTCACTTTCACGCTCAAAAGCTTTCGCGCCCTCACTCTCGCTTTTTCTCTCCCTGTGCGCGGTTCCCGTGCAGGTGAAAGAGCTACGAGCATCCCTCTCTCTCTCTTAGCATTCTCTTTTAGTATTCTCGAAAGTGACTTTCTAAGCATTCGCGCTCACTCCCTCTCTTTCTCTCTGCGCTTGCGCGTGCAGGTGAAGGAGCTGCGCGCATCCCTCGGTCCGCTCCCCAAGCACGCGCGGATATTCTGCTCCGACGCGTGCCTGCGCCGATACCTGCGCGCGCGCAACTGGCACGTGCAGCGCGCCGAGCGCATGCTGCGCAACACGCTCAAGTGGCGCGACCAGTGCCGCCCGGAGGAGATTCGATGGGTACGTACATTTGCACGCGTGTTCGTGCATCTTGAGCACGTAAACACACACATATGCACGTGCGCACGAAAGAGGCAGGTGGATGAAAATACATGCATCAGTGCAAGCGCTGTGCAAATGTGCGACTGAAATATGCATACCTCAGTGCTTAACATCATTCCTTCCCGCCATCCACTTGTTCCCGCCATCCGCTTGTTCCCGCCATTCACTTTTTCCCGCCATCCACATTTCTTCACACCAAACAAACGTCCAAATCATGCCACCCGTCATGGCGGTGTTGGGTGTCCAATTTTCCCTTCTCCGTTTGCCACCGCCCCACTCCCTTGTGCACTTCCCCCTTCCTTCCGCATCATCCGCATCTGGTGCATGAACGTGCGTTTTGTGGGCCGTGTGCTGAACGCAACTGCATCCTTTTGCGCGATTGCAGGCTGACGTGGCGGAGGAGGCTGGACGGGCAAGGTGTACCGATCTGCATTCCAGGACAAACACGACCGCCCGGTCGTGGTGCTCTCTGCCGAAAGGTGAGGTGCTTGGTTGGAGATGGGGGGCTGTGATGTGACCTGAGGGAAGGGGGCCAAGGTGTGCAGGACAGCGCTCCCTTCCAGCCACTGTGTGAGCTGAATATGGTTGTAACTAGCCTGCACTGGTCAGCTTCAGGCTGATTGATTCGGTCTCTCCTATGTTGGAATATACGCGTTTGTTGTATATACGCGTTTCGTATATACACAAGCGTGCATACGCTATACGCTCAAACCTCAGATCGGGGATACGCTTTTCCGGGCAGGCAAAAAAAAACCCCCGGGCAGGGGGGAAAAAGTTACTTGTATGGTTTTGGAGGGGGGGCTTTTCTTGGGCTTTGTAGGTCGGGTGGTATTTTTTCCAGAGATAAACATGGGCATACACAGAATTGCAAGGGCATCATCATCATGATCCTTTCCAATTCCTACTCTACTCTACCGCACTGGTGACATAGAATCCGTCCCACCCCATGTTAACACCGCCCCTTATCAACCTAGTCCTCATACTCATCCATCAACACATCATCCTCCCCTTCCTCCTCCTCTGCCTCCTCCACCAGCTTGTAGCCCTCGGGCAGAGGTGGGTCTTCCATGTTCCCCTGCAGTACTTCGGGCATCACATCCGCACGAGAATGCCAGTTGCGCACAACATTCCAGTTGTGCGCAACAAAAACCAGATCCCTGCATTTGGCTGATCCAAGACGGTTTCGGCGTGCGGTGTGGTCTGACTCAAACGCTGCCCAACCGCGCTCGCAGGGTGAGGCTGACACGGGCTGTGAGAGGGTTCTGATGGCGCAAAACGCCAGCAGAGGCGCATCAGTCCCATGCCACTGCCACCATTTAACGCTGTCATACTTCCCCTTCTTCACCAGGGCCCTCTGTGCAATCGCGTCTGGCTGGCCGAAGCTCCCTTTCATGTCCAGAAAGGCCCGCACCCCCTCCTGCAGGGCAATCAAGCACTCATCCCCTTCTCCCCCCGCCTTCCCGCTGCTCTTGAGATACTCGCTCTGCTGCACGATCCAGGTCTTGAAAACCTTTGTGCACTCTGCGTCGCTTCCGAAAATATCCTCATCCTGGTTTGCCGGGTTGAGGATTCTGCCCACGACGTGCAAAGCGCAGGCAAGGCTCCCATCCCAGCGGTTTTTCAGGATCTTGCGGATCTGAGCCTTGTCGGTCTTGCTGAGCTGCTCTTCATCCGCCTCCACCAGCTCTTCCAACTCCACGGTCAACTGAAGCATGACATCATAAATTCTCCCCATCATCCCCTTCGCCTTCCCGTCGGTCTCCCTCATGACCTTGTAGGGGAGCTGCATCATCTTGCAGAAGAACTCGGCAGTCTTCCACCAAGCCGCATCGAGGATGAGCGCGGCAAAAGCATCCGCCGACGGCTTCCGCGTCCCCACTGCCCAATCCTTCCACAAATCGCTAACCACCATCTGCGTCAGCCCCTTCCGCAGCTGACAGAGGCGGGACACAATAATATACTGTGTCCCGAAGCGTGTCCCAGCCGGCTTCAGAGCCTGCAGCACAGTTGCGCCCACCAACTCCGGGGTCCTAAGGTAGCCCCGCGTCCAATGGTGATTGCGCACAAAAGATGAGTTCTCCCCCGCGGGGTGGAGATCCACCACCTTTTTCGCCCAATTGATCTTACCCACATCCTCCTGAAGCAAATCCAGCACGTGTGTCGCACACGGCACGTACTCAATGTGCGGCCACGCGGAAATCAGCTCCTTGCACGCGGCCGCGTAGTTTGATCCCCCATCGGTACAGAAGGCCACCACGTTTTGGGGCCCCACCTCTTCCACCACCGGCTTGATAATCCCGGCCACGTAGCCACCGGTCTTGGACTCCATACGGCAATCAATGCAGTTCTTGAAGATGGCGCCGGAATCGTTGACGAGGAAGATGTTGGCCTGAGGACGGCCAGCCTTATCCGTCATCATGTCGGATGAAATGGTCACACCGGTTCGCTTCCAGCTCGACTTGATGGTTGCCAGCCCAGCATCAATCCCATCGCGGCATTGCTGCAAACCGGCGCCGCCGACATACTTCCTCTTCGGGGGAACGTAGGCGATACCGGCGCGCGTTGATGCAGCTGACGGCGCTGATGAACAGGGGATGATCCACGATGTGCTCCGGGAGGCGGAGGGCGGCGACCATGAGGCAAATTGAATCGTGAGCTTCGCGTCTCGCCGTAGCCGCATCACCCTCGATGTAGTCCGTGATGCGCGTCCTCTTTGCGCCATTAGTCACGGCGACGATGGCAGCAGCCGTCGCCTTGCGACGCTCTTCTGCGGCAGCCGCCTTGGCCTCGTACTTGGCGCGCATGTCCTGGCGCACTGAATGCGGGGCAAAGAGAGACCTCGCGACGCTTCATGCCCTTCCACGATGACAAGTGTTGAGCGCAACGAATGGCGGCTCCAGCAAAAACCGCGAAGCAGTGGGTACGAATGGGACTGTGGGGGGGGGTAACTCGCGGCATGGAAATATACGCACATTTCTGAACGCAACACGGCTTGGGTTTGTACGCACGACTCTGAGCTCCCAACTCCAAGTCGCAAGTTCTTACTTTGAAGCCACGACCCCACTTCCCAACAACAAGGACGTGCATTTCGACACGCGCGAAATGTTCACCGTCAAATTCCGCATCTTTTTGCATATCCTGATTTTTTTCGCCCGGGCTGCCCTAAAAAAATTTTGGGCTGCGTATAGCGTATGAGTGGGCGTTTTGCGTGTAACGTATATACACAAGCGTATAAACGCTAAACGCAAAGGGACCTGGGCGTATATTCCAACATAGGGTCTCTCATCCACTGCATACACCTCGCCTGCGTACACCTCGCCTGCATACACCTCGCCTGCAGACACCTCGCCTGCATACACCTCGCCTGCATACACCTCGCCTGCATACACCTCGCCTGCATACACCTCGCCTGCAGGGCAGTCCTTACACGCCCCATCACCCTCCCTCGTACACTCCCCTTGGCCTCAGGACACCAGCAACCATGCGGGGCAGGTGCGGCACCAGGTGCACTGTTTAGTCAATGCCATCATGGCATCATGAACCTGCCCCCCACTGCCCACCACTCTCAAAGCGCCCCTCCTCTTACGCCCAATTCCCTTGCTCACAGAACATTAACAACCATGCGGGGCAGGTGCGCCACCTGGTGCACTGCCTTGAGAACGCCATCATGTTATTGCATACCAGTCCTCCCTTTCTCACCCTACCACCCTCTTCTGTGCATTTCCTCTGTCACAGAACACCAGCAACCATGCGGGGCAGGTGCGCCACCTCGTGCACTGCCTGGAGAACGCAGTCATGAGCCTTCCCGCCACTGCCTGCGTGCAGCAGCAGCTGCAGCCGCGTGAGAATGGCAGGCAGAGAGAGTAGCACGACGAGCAACAGGAGGAGCAGGGGGAGCAGCAGGGAGAGGAGCAGGGGGAGCAGGAGCAGATGGTGTGGCTGATTGATTTCCGCGGGTGGAGCATGCGCAAGGCTCCGCCGCTCAAGACGTCTCGCGAGGTGCTGAGCATTCTGCAGAGCCACTACCCGGAGAGGCTCGGCGCTGCTGTCATCTACAACCCGCCTGCCGTCTTCGAGGCCTTCTGGAAGGTGCGTGCAGCTCCCTGGGGAAGGTGAGGTGGTGTGAGATGGTGCATGGGGCTCCATTGGAATGACTTTTAAATCGACTCCAAGGCTGGCTTGGTGCTGCTGTCATGTGCAACCCGCCTTTTTTCTTTTAAGCCTTTTGGAAGGTGAGGTGGTGCGTGCGGCTCCATGAGAATGGTGAGGTAAACATACCAAGTCTCTGTTCTTTTGTTTATCCTCTGTTTTTTGTTAATCTCTCTCTCTCTCTCTCTCTCTCTCTCTCTCTCTCTCTCTCTCTCTCTCTCTCTCTCTCTCTCTCTCTCTCTCTCTCTCTCTCTCTCTCTCTCTCTCTCTCTCTCTCTCTCTCTCTCTCTCTCTCTCTCTCTTCGTTTTTTTCTACACAATTTTTCCGTCCTTTTTTTGCTGTTCATTGCATTTGCAGCCAGCTTGGGTGGTTGCAGAGTGCTCATGTCATGTTCAAATTTCATACTCAATACTCACAATCATGCAACCCATTTTTCGCCTATCCATTCTGCTTCCCCACCCCAACAAGCGATCCGGCCCTTCATAGACCCGGTGACATCCAACAAGATTCTCTTTGTCAACCCATCCAAGCCCGACACGGTGAAATAGCTTGAGGAAATTTTCTACCTGGACCGTCCAAGTGGACCTATGACCATGCGACATATGGCGAGATGATGGCACGGGCTGATGAGAGGACGGCTAAGTACTGGGTGATTGTTGAGGGGGGAGCGGTTGGGGCAGCAGCAGGAGATTGTGGGGGATGAGAGCGTGGACGGTGCTGACAGCACTCAGGGCAGCGAGGAAAGTTCCCGCAGCAGCAGCAGCAGTTCCAGTAGCATTAGCAGCACCAGCAGCAATGGCGATGGTGAGGACGGTGCTAACCTTTGGTTACCCATTGAGGTGCTTGCTCCCACTGATCCGCACACACCACATCCGATCCAAGCACATACGCAAACGAATGGAGTGCTCACAAATCTCCATAAGATGAGCCTCAACAGGTTCATCAAGCGACCAACATGGCCTCAATAACTCTAATGGTGTTTGCTCAGTTGTTCCGTGCTGGTGAGTATTAGCATATTTTTGTGTGCCTACAGATTGATACGTTGTAGGTTGAAGCAGCATTTTTTATGTTAAAGGGCCTCTGATCAGCATCTGAATGGTATTAAATTGATGACACCCTGATGCAGAGTTGCATTTAGATGAGAAGAAACAACTATGGGTGGATATGACCTCCCCAGACAATGAGAACTGGCAATAATGAGGCATATGGTATCAGTGAAGGCAATCAGGCCATGTCAATTCTGACCATCGAATGTACTGTACAAAGACAAATCACCAGTGTAATATAAGCACAATCCTCCTTTCACAATCCAGTGATATGCACTGCACTGCGTCTACCCTCCCCTTTTACTCACCTTTTCCCCTGAGAAGATCCATTTCCCAATACTCTACCATCAACGCAACCACTCTCCAGATTTGGAATCTTGGGAATCACCTCATGCTCCTCATCCCCAAACTCTGAGCATGCAGTGATCACGAGAGTCCTGAGGCTGGTGAGACTGCTGAAGGACTGAGGCAGAGGGCACGAACTGATAGTCAGCCGCTGCAGCTGTGAAAGATTTCGCATCTCCTCTGGAAGCTCGTACAGCTCCGGAAGGCCAAACAGGAGGAGCGCTTTCAGATTCGAGACTGGCAAATAGACCTCATGAAGGCACGTTGATCCTCCTCGCACGACATGCAGTTGGCTGGCCACCCAAACTCAAGAGTCGTAAGGCTGCTGCAATGCTGAAGGAGGGATGGAGACACCCTCTCAACTTTGTCGCAATAATTGAAGGAGAAAGTGCGAAGATTGGAGAGCTTGGAGAGGGTATCAGGAAGGCGGGTAAGGCTTCTAAGTTGACTCAGCTCGAGATGCTCCAGTGAGGACAGGCGATCCATGTTCTGTGGTAAGGCCGTGAGCCCTGAGCAATCCTTGAGGACCAACATGCGGAGGTTAGGAAGACCGCAGAGAGAATCAGGGAGCGAAAGAGACCCTGGAAAAAATCTGATAGTTAGCGTCTTGAGAGAACTGAGGCGGGACACTGCGTTGGGAAGGGATTCCAAAGCTGGACAATACACGAGCTTAAGAACTTGAAGAGAAGCAAGCTCAAAAAAAGAACTCGGGAGTTCAGAGAGGAGCATGTGTTAGAATCTAGTAGCATGAATGAGTGCATTGCATGAAACGTGGGTACAAGTATAACCCTAACTTTGGGTTGTACCCCATATGAGCTACCCCACTACAGCCTATACAGAAATAGCACATATAGTTTGACACACCCCCATAGGCAAAGTGGGGGAGAACAAGGGGTCACAAGACCAGTCAAGAGAAGTAAAGCAAGCTCAGGGTGGATCACAACGTCACCACACACACTGAGCACAAGCAAAGGGCCACAAGGCCAGTTCACATGCAGAGGTATATATGCAACAAGCACAGTACAGTGATCACTACCTAGCAAGAACAAGCCTCCATGTAAATATATATGGATCACAGTACAAGCAGAGTCTACAGCAAGTGTGGAAACGTAGGCACAAGGCCCAACAAAGTACAAAAGCGCTGATGGTCACCAGACGGAAGTGCCTTGGTGAATATATCAGCAGTGTTGGCCCGAGTGGCCACGTGTGCAAGACGAAGCTGACCACGCTGCTGCAACTCTCGAGCCAGGAAGTAACGCAGAGCGATGTGCTTCGTTCTGTGCTCCAGTCTGTGCTCCTCACACAAGGCAATGGCGACCTTGTTGTCGACGTACAGAACTGGAGGAGAACGAGGCCGCTCTCCCAGGTCGGTCAGCAGGTAAGTGAGCCAGCGTAACTCCTGAGCAGCCATGGCGGTGGCATAGATCTCAGCCTCACAACTGGAGCTGAGAACAGAAGACGAGCGAGTAGAACGCCAAGAAACAGAACCGGAGCCAAGGCTGAAAGTGTAACCTTGTGACGTCCGTTGCATAGCCTGGTCGTCAACCCAAGAAGCGTCTGAGTGCCCAGTGAGGACCACGTCTCTCCACCCTCCAAGCACGAGCCCCATGCCCGATGTACTGCACAAGTAGCGCAGTACCCTCTTCGCAGCATCCCAGTGCACCTTTCGGTGTCGACCAGGAGCCACGTAGCGTGCTAGAAGGCCAAGAAGGTACGCAAGGCCTAGACGAGTGCAGGTTATCAGGTACATGAGGCAGCCCACTAACTCTGGGTAAGGACCACTCGGCTCTACGGACTCGTCCGAAGGTGGAGCTGAGAGCGAGTGACCTGTAGCCAGAGGAGTGGCCTGTGCACGTGTGTCTCTTCTGCAGCTCCGACTTCACCAGGGCGAGAGCCTCAGTTTCAGCAGTGGCAAAGACCAAGTCGTCGACGTACACGAGGATGTAGAACGGCGGCAGCAAAGTGTCGGTGCGCAAAAACAGCGACGGGTCAGCAGTCGACGGAGCAAACCCAAGAGCCGCAAGTGTCGTCCTCAGTGTGTCGTGCCACTCACGCGGCGCCTGGCAGAGACCGTAGACTAGCCACTGGAGCCTCCACTGGGTACCAGGAGGAACCGACCCGGTGAAGCCAGGAGGGCGG